TGCCCACAATTGTCGTCCATAACAGAAGTATAACACAAACGAAACATGGTTATTTTCACAAGCAATTGTAAATTTTTTAAAATAAAAACAGAATTAGTGGCCATAATAACATATATTCTTACCTTATAAACGAAAGTCCCTCCTCCACCGCCGCCGCCACCACCACGCTGGTTAGAGCTGTAAAGTTCATCTCGCAAGTTATGAATGTTTCTTTTCGCTAGTCCAGCATGACATTTCTTTTCGAGCTACACAGAAACAAAAACGTATTATATTGCTTCATTTTACGATTAAATTAATGCCGAAAAACATCGAGGTAATTTTGCATTCTGTTGAAACAGAAAAATAAGAAACTGAATTAATGAACAGAGTATACTAGCAGAAAAGTGCTTCTTAGGAGAATATACGTCCTGTTTATATATTTCATATGAAAGCTGGTGAACAACTGAATGAATAAGAAAATGATATTATATTTTTATCTTTGAAATAATATAGTTAAAGTGAAAACAAGGAAAAAAAAAGCCATATCACTCTTTAGAATATAAAATTTCTCTTTGGAATATGTTTCAAAATATATGATTTCACAGTGAGGCGTACTTTTAAACATATCTCTATTAGGTTATGAGCTCATTCCTAATATGAAATCAGAGATCCAACTGGATAGAAGCTCTTTTTCTCTGAACGGTAGTCCAAAAATTAAGAGTCTCTACAGAAATAATACTTTCAAATAAATACCATTACAAACAATTCCATGTTGAACAACTGTAGAAACAGGAACAATAAAATTATATTATCTTTGGATTAATATACTTATAATAATAATATATTATACATCAGCTGAAAAATTAAAAGGCGGGGACCTTTTGTCCTATACAAAAAATTCCAATGATTTACATAAAAGTTAAGATTATTTAAAACAAAAATCAGAAGAAAATGGACATTTTACTATTTTTTTTTAATAGCGTTGTGGTCGTTTAACTCCCCCCTCAAACGCCCTGGCCTCTAAAGCAATGACACTATCAAATAATTCAATTAATCTTATATAATCAGATAGATTATCAAATAATTAAATTAATCTTATATAGTCAGAGAAACTATCAAATAATTCAATTAATCTTATACAGTAAGAGAGACTATCAAATAAATCAATTAATCTTATATAGTCAAAGAAACTATCAAATAATTCAATTAATCTTATATAGTCAGAGAGGCTATCAAGTAATTCAATTAATCTTATATGGTCAGAGAAACTATCAAATAATTCAATTAATCTTATATAGTCAGAAAAACTATCAAATAATTCAATTAATCTTATATAGTCAGAGAAACTATCAAATAATTTAATTAATCTTATACATTAAGAGAGACTATCAAATAATTCAATTAATCTTATATAGTCAGAGAAACTATCAAATAATTCAATTAATCTTATACAGTAAGAGAGACTATCAAATAATTCAATTAATCTTATATAGTCAGAGAAACTATCAAATAATTCAATTAATCTTATATAGTCAGAGAGGCTATCAAGTAATTCAATTAATCTTATATAGTCAGAGAGGCTATCAAGTAATTCAATTAATCTTATACAGTCAGAGATACACAACATTCAAGCTATATTCTAGAAAATATGTATTTCAGACACCTAATTATAGATATATTACTCATCTCAATTTGCTGGCTACATAATGGATTGATATTATCTCCTCTATTGCTCAAATTATCTATCAAAAAGAGACCTCATGGATAAGTTGAACAAGGTATGGATCGTCTCTCTTATGACTAACATAATTAAGACATAAAAAGATACTCACTCGACTTGGCGTATCCTACCAAAAGAAAAAATATATATATATATTATATTATCAATTGCAACTGTAAAAATATTTTAAATTGCTAAACACTGTTGTACAATGGTGAATTTAGGGAAAATTTTATACCAATATCCCCGTGATTTTAATAGATATTTTACAGTTTAACAACATAGTAAGTACTGTATTAGTTGCAAAATACTGCTATTTTTATGATTATCAATATTTATGATTTAGTGCAAAATTATTTATTCCGGTATCAATTTAAAATTCACCCCTGCGCTGTGAAAATCATAACAAGCTTAAACTGATTTTTTTTTACTCACATTTAAGAATAGTGATTCAAAATTAAGAAACATTTTTACTATTACATACTGTCATGATTGTACTTTAATAACTTTCGAGGAGCTTTTATATCTATTTGTTTGTTTTGAATTTCGCGCAAAGCTACACGAGTGCTATCTGCGCTAGCCGTCCCTAATTTAGCAGTGTAAGACTAGAGGGAAGGCAGCTAGTCATCGCCACCCACCGCCAACTCTTGGGCTACTCTTTTTACCAACGAATAGTGGGATTGACCGTCATATTATAACGCCCCCACGGCTGAAAGGGCGAGCATGTTTGGTGTGACGGGGATTCGAACCCGCGACCTTCAGATTGCGTGTCGAGCGCCCTAACCACCTGGCCATGCCGGGCCTCTTTATATCTATTGTAGTCATTAAGATGAAGGATTATTTTGAATCAATATACACATATGTGTAACGGTGTGATAATAATTAAATTACTACAAAAGTTATGGGGCTCTGTTTCCAATATCGTTTATGAACACTGCATTTTTTTTCCCTGTAAACTCCCAGTGGTGCATAGGGCCGCAACAATACCTCGCCAACGGAAGTTGTTGTTGCAGTTACTTGTAGCAGGCTGGTTTTTACGGGGTGGAGTTGCTAGCCCCGCGCCTAAACCTTCTCCTTTCTCATCCTGGACTTGGGACCAGGCAAAGGCGGAGGTTGGCATGTTTGTTGTGACGGGGATTACGAGTCGAGCGCCCTAACCACCTGGCCATGCCGGGCCATGAACACTGCATAATGAGTCGAAATAAATTGAATATCACAATATGTATGCATTTTGTCTTTGAAAAATAACTGAAAATCATGAACAT